CGGTCCTCCCTGCGCCCGCAGCTGCCCTAGGCCCGGCCGGCCCGGCCCAGGTTCCCGGTGCTGCCGCAGTGTGGAGGAGGCCGCCTGCTCTCTCCATGCCTGGGGGCCCGCAGCCCAGGGAAAACCCATGGAGGCCCTTCATGGGCGTGGGGTTTGCAGCTAACTCTTACAAATGCCCTCCAATTCCTTGGAAACCCCAGGATTCCAATACATCTCTGTAATCAACGAAAGAAGCATGCAAAATACAAATAACACCTCCAATAAAAGTGATACATCAATTTCTAGGGTTTATAACTGATTATTTTAATGCCTACGTTATAACCGCCCCCAGAATTTAATCCCTCAGTCTCTCATGGTGATAACTTGAAAAGAGAATAATTTGTTGGACGTCAAAACTAAAAACTTTGAGGTGGTATCTAAGGAAAATTATAGCAGATCGTATTTTCTGAAAGTGGCTTCAGCGGTTTCACTTAGCCCAAGGGCTCTGTCATACAACGTTCTCACTTTTTGTGGAAAGGTGATCTGGTCTGGCTGGGGTTATGACAAGTGACATCATGTGACCCCCTACACACACACACACACACACACACACACACGGTCACGTGACAGAAAGCAATAGATGTTCTGGCTCCCTGTCTCCACGTTGCTTTGGGGTTAGCCACACCACACTGTCATGTTAAAAAGTCAAAATCTAAAGAGATCCTTATCCAAATACAAAACTGAAACTGAAAAAAACGAGAAAGAAGCCATTGGATGTGAAGGCTAAAAGCAAAGTTGATTTTGAATAAATACAAACTAATTGCCTAATTCTAAACTATTCTTGACCTCACCTTTTTCTAGCCATGAAATGCTTTCCAAAAAAGACTGTGAAAATGTAGCTGAATATTTTTCTTCCCATCAAGATTAGAACTCCCACCTTCCCGAGCACACTGACTCCAATTATGCTTTAAAGAGAAGGTGTCTGAGATTCCAAGATCAATTAGATGTCAATTATTGAGATGTGAAGCTTTTTAATGCCTTATGGAATTCAGTTAAACAGGTAATGAGTGGTAGATTACGCATTCTGTATAATTTATCCATCTCTACTTCCCATTTACCTCTGTCAATAACAAAGGTGAATGTTACAAATTGTCCAAACCAACCCCTTTGCCAATCATATTGAACGTTAACCAGTTCCATTTATACTTTTAGTCCACTGGCTACTCAGCTTCTTCAAGAGACTGCATGGGTAGATGTAAAATGAGTAGCATTCCCTGAGAAGGGCCCTGATTCTGTCCATGAGCCAGGCAGTAGACACACATGTATAATTCTTACAGTAAATCTGCCAATTGTGCATGAGAAAATGCATCCTCAGATCACTGACCTCTCCCATTAGAATGTTCATCATGCTAGGGAAAGTAATCATCACCTTTCATGTGGGCACCCAAAGTAGCCGCACATGGCTGCACCCCTTCATCCTTTCCCATCTCTTTTCTCTTGCACTGTCTCCAGAGTGGGCTCCAGTAAATCAGCAGCACCACAGGACGATGAACACAGAGTTGAGATCATCAATTTGTCCTTTTAGACTTGCTGTAAGGAAAAGAGCTGATGCTAGGTAACACATACATTTAAAAGGTTTCATTTAACTCACAGTTTGGGGTGGCCCAGAGCATGGCATCAGCATCTGCTCTGCTCTGGAGAGGGGATTCTAGCGACATCACGATATGCTGCATGGCATTGTGGTAAGACCACATGCAAGAGGAGGAGATCCTGAGGAAACAGGAAGACAGACTCAGGGGAGGCTGCAGGCTCACTTGTGACAATGCTCTCCTGCAAGGGAGGAATGCACCCCTTCCAGACAATCATTCATCCCTTCTCAGCCTCAGGCCTCCATGACTCAATTCTCTTCCACTGGACTCCGTCTCTGAAAGGCTGTACCACAGCCACATCACCTAACAAGGGCCAGTGCTCCAGCACACAACCTTCTGGGGGACACACGCAGACTGTATATGGTCTACACGAAGCAGGCAGTACAGTTACTGTAACAAGTTGGGTTTTACGCAGTATTTGAAGAAAATTTGTCCTTGACATATTAACTTGCAGATGTATCGACAGAACAATGATGAAATAAATACCATGGTCACTGCAGCGTGGGCAGTAGGTGTTATCACTCTTCATTTCATTTCCCTTCCTCTTCTTGTGTACTTGCCATGCTTGCTGAGTGATTTGGCTTCATCTTGTACTCAGTCACGTCATGTAGTAAGAACATGCCTTTATCTAAACAAAAGTTAACAAAAATACTGGGTTCCTAGCAGGTACCAATGAAAGTATCTTGCATTTCTGACAGTTTCAAATAAAGATGATCATGGGAAACTACAGATAAAAATGGTATTTAATGTGCTCCAACCATGCCAAGGAAATAAATGATAGCCTTTTTGGCCCTTAAAAATACTCTGAAGTACTATCATTACCACTTCAAGTGTATATGCATTTGTCCCTTTTTTAGACATCGCTAGATGTTAATCCTTGCTGACAAAATTGTCCTTTATTTAAGTTGACAAAGCACACAGTATTCCTGCCCATCACTGTCACTGTAGTTCTCCACTTAACTCTGAAAGAGCTTAATGAAGGGAAAGAAATAATGGTGTAGAAACGAAGATTACAAATGCGATGGTCTGGAGACGACATTTCCAGTTTTTTAACAATGGTGGTATGCAATGGCTTCAAACTAAGAAATAGTTATCACTCAGCAAATAATATGAGAAATATATATTAATATTAATATATTCCAAGTTGAAGAAAATGAATGCTGCTTAAAATGTTTTGAAGTATAAAGGGCAACCATATATGCTTATATTTATAGTGCAGTGGGCACCTCCTGATTACAGAGGGGAAAATGTGCACATTTTGGGAAGTAAAAATCATGACTGAGAAAGCCTGTGTAAGATTTGGCGTATGTGTTCGTTCTCTCAGTTTGTTCTTCTTCAATGTAAGGACTAAATTGAGGATACATCTTCCATTTCAACTCACAAATTACTGTACCCAGAAGTGTGGCTAAATTTGGCTTTACCACTCCAATTCTTAACTCAACATCTGATAAATGATTAATAAGCACCTACTTGGCTGATGTAAGTGCCTCTCTACTGCCAGTATAGTCCCAGCCTCAACTATGAATCATATAAGATATTAAAAACAAATTTTCAATAAGACATCAATATTAAACATCTGACCTTGAAAATTGAGGTTTCCAGGCATCAAAGTCAGATGCAACAATGTGAGTTAGTTTCAGAACTTTTGGATCCTTGAACTAATTAAAGGCAGAAAAAGCCACTGGCAAGTGAAGAGAAGAGGTAATTTTTAAAGAAACATTTGAGAAGAGTTTCATCTTTCCTTAAATTTTGATTTCCCACCGTCTTGAAGGTAGACTCAAGGCATTCTAAGGGCTTCACGCATTTCCTAAACAAAGAGGTCATCCTGGGTCTCCTCAGAGTAAATGCACCTCTGTCACAGATGTGACTGCCCCTAAGGATAGAAAAAGAGCCCCAAAAGTACAACTGTGTGAGGCATCAAGGTTTCTCTGCAACCCACTGAAATTCATATTTAAACTTCATCCCTAAGCAGCAGGGTTAAAAAAAGGGGCATTTATATAAGTAAAAGTGAGACTAATGACCTATATCAGAGGCTTCACACTGCATTCCTTCCTCTTTTGTCCTCTTTTCATCCTGTGTCGAGGCAGTGCTGGTTCTCTCTAGAGAAAGCAGAAACAAAGCACTATGGTAGAAACCAAAGAGAAGCTTTTCTAGACAATGGAACATCCAATGTCTTGATCTTGGACTTCCCAGTCTTCTGAACTGTGATAAATAAATTTGTATTATTGGTAAATTACATAGTCTGCAGAATTTTCTTATAGCAGTAGAAATGGACTAGAACAAGGCTACTATCTTGCAGTAAGCATAGTTCTATAACAAGGGACTTGTACATGTATCTTACAGATAGAACCTGCCTGTACTTATGCTGAATATGGTTCAGTAAGATAACCTCAAGAAAAACACAAATCGGAGTAGCATAGGGCTGAGGAGTATTTAAAAATTTAGGCACTGCTTAATTTAGGGAAAATCATTACCTATTAGATGATTCACCCACTTGTCAAGATCACATGACTGCAGTTGAAGGATCCGTGCAAGAAAACTGTAAAGAGCTTCTGACAATTGAAAGGAGAAAGAGAATATAAATAAGCTTTAAGGCACAAAGAGGAAGAGAACAGTTTATTACCATATTATTCAAATAAAAGATTTCACTTTCCGTTGCATTCCCAGCTTCTCCCTGCTCCAACCCCAGCTGTGTCAGAATATTCCAGGTGGGATGAAGTAGAGACAGGAAAACGTAAATCCAAATCTGTAAGGCTGATTATTGCCACTTTTTAACATTGTCTTTCATTCTACAACACATTCCAAGTAAGGAGTTACACTTAATACTGAACAGAAGCTAGAGTTTTGATTTAATAGCCTGGATATTCTGATCTCTAAAATGAGACTCGCCTGAGACTTAAAGCAGCGATGGACAAAACACTGCCAAGAGTGGGAATAAAAGGAGCTGCTGTGCTTCATCTGCCTGCTGGCTTCACAGGCCTCGAGGCTAAACAAATTTGCTTTGACTCTAACCAGTCTATAGAGGCAGGGGTGACACAGGCTGTGCACTGAAGCCCTAAAATGGGCATCTGAAATGAACAGGCATTTCTCAGACAAAGAAGCAAAATCAATAAGTAAATATATGAAAAAAAAATGTTCAACATCGCTGGTCATTCAAGAGGTGCAGATGAAAACAACACTGAGATTCC